TCTGAATTAGAATTATAAACATTAACAATGTTGGTGATTTGACATCTCTTTTTACTTCTTTTGTGGGCTATTCCTCTACAAAATATGGGAAAATGTTAAGGGTAAAACTCAGCGAGGCACCTAAGAAGGACCTTCGGTTGGCCCTTTGTGGTCAAAATTTGATAACTTTGAGAGGGAAAGCAGGGACCATCCCAGGTTGTGCTTGATCTGGGTGGATCTGCTGCTTACCCAGACTGAGGGTATTGTCTTTCGGTGGAGGGACCACTTTGAGAGTCCTCTGTCTGGCTAGCACACTCTGAGGACTTATGTATGACCTGGCAGAAGTCAACAGGGTAGTTAGAAAGATTTGTGGTAGTGAAGTGCTAGATTGGCAGCAGTGTTGCTGTCATGGCCGACACGCCTCATGGATCCTCCCTGGTCAGGACCAGGCCTTTACCTTTGCGGTTACCGAGGGGATCATGGGAGTTTGACCATCCAGTCTATATCTGTTTTATAGAACTGGTAAATGCATACGGCCATATTCACAGATGGCTTCAGTTGAGGATGTTTGGGATATAGGGGGTACTGGAAATGCTGTGGTAATCTCTTTAAGGAGGATGTGTGCATCGTTGTACCTTTTCTCCATGGCTGCTTTTTTATTTATTTATTTTTTTTCAAGTTATTTTTATTGAAACAAATGATAAGATAATATCAATAAGGAATACAGTTCACTTTTTTTTCCTTTTAAGATAAACATATACTTGTGCAGGTGTAACTTCTCATATATAAATACAAGTATAAATGTTGAAGTAGTCACACCTACTACATATACAAAAAACAAAAACAAAACAAAACAAGAACAGTAAAAGAAGGGAACAACCCCCCCCCCCATTCCCACCCTGTCTCAGCCCAACACATTCAGCAGAAAAATAAGATTAATAATAATAATACTAATTAAAAAAAAATAATAATGATGAAAAAAAAACTTCAGTAAAGCACAGCAACAGGCACACATATTTAATTAGGTAGGAACTCCAAATCTGAAAAATAAGAAAGAAAACACTGCCATTTTTGGAAAAAATTGTCCGTACATCCTCTCATTGTGTATTTGATTTTTTCAAGTTTAAGAAAAAACATCATGTCCTTAAGCCACTGGGTGATGGAGGGATATCTAGCAGACTTCCAGTTTAATAATATTGAACGTCTTGCGATTAAAGATGTAAAGGCTATTATATCTTTTTGCTTTGAATTTAATACTACTAAGGAATTAGAAATCCCAAATATAGCAGTCAGTGGACAAGGTTGCAAATTAACTTTGAGAATAGTAGACATAGCTGTAAAGTAACCAGACCAAAAAGCAGCCAGGTCAGGGCAAAAAAAAAACATATGACTAAGATGACATGGAGAGTCCTGACACTTGTCACATTTGTCTTCAATTTCTGGATTGATTTTACTGAGTCTGTACTTAGAGAAATGGACTCTATGTAAAACTTTGAATTGGATAAGACCAAGACAAGCACAAGAGGTAGTAGACCGTATTATGTCAATTGCATCTTCCCAGAGATCTTCATTTAACTGTATTCCTAGCTCTGATTCCCATGCATTCTTAATTTTGTTATCCAACTGAGAGTTTAGTTTCAGAATTGAGTTATATATCTTTGAAATATTTCCTCTCTGAGAAGGGTTATATAAAAGCAAGTTTTCCCAAGGCAACTCCGGGGAGATTGAAGGAAAACTGGGAAAGAGTTTTGAAACAAAACTACGAATCTGAAAGTAGCGAAACAAATGAGTGCCCGCAAGATTATACTTAGAGGACAAATTAGTAAAACTATCAAACACACCACGAACATACAGATTCTTTAAGTGTCTAACACCCTTATCATACCAAACTGAAAAGAGAGAGTCTGAAAGAGATGGGGGAAATAATTGGTTGTTAGTTAAAGGAATCATAGAAGATGCAGTTAAAAATTTTCTAAACTGATACCAGATCTTAAGGGTGTTAAGTACCACTTGATTGTCTGTATATAGAGAAGGTTTTGTAGGCAGAGAAGAATATAGCAAAGCCGGTATAGAGGACCCTTTGCAGGATGATTGTTCTAATTTACACCAAGGGGAGTGAGGAGATTCCAACCAGCCACAGAGTTTTTGGATGTGAGCAGCCCAGTAATACATCTGAAAATTAGGTAATGCAAGTCCACCACTAAGTTTACACCTTTGCAAAAATGTTTTACGGATCCTAGGTGGCTTTCCACCCCATAAAAAAGTGGCAATTGTTTTATCTAAAGAATCGGGTTTGTCTGCAGTATTATTTTGCTGTTAGTGTTTGTTAGTTTGTGTGTGTCTCCCCATAGTGTTTGTTTGCAGGTTTTCCCTCGAGTTTACCTACGGTGACTACAGGACATTTTTCTACAGATACAGCAGCTGGATGGATGGTTTTGTTGTCTCTCTTTCCTTTTTTTTTTTTTTTT